GCTCTGGCGTGGGCTGGTCCATGAGGTCACGAAGAGTCGGAGACGACTGAACGAATGAACAACAACAGGTATATGTCACAAAGAGATATTGCCCACTCCACACCACCCAGCATATATACATTTAGTTCAGTTAGTGTGTTGACAACTCTATAAAGATGTAGCTTGATGAACAAATAATTAGAACAATAATATCTTCCTTTGTTTGTTACTCAATCATCTTGAATTGTCCAACCAACCCAATAAGCACTGGTCAACAATCCTGCCAGGGCCTTAGTGCCCCCGTGTGGAGAGGGAAAAAGGTACAATTCTGCCACAAGAAAATCAATATCTCCGACCCACCTGTTTTGAGATGCCAATGCTATTCCCGTCCAGTTGCTGTACCCCATGATCTAGTGCTGTGAGTAGACCTACCGGCTTTTGCTGCTGCTTTGTATCCCAATCCAAGCGAGAGCATTCCAGATGAGGCATCAGCAATGCCAACTGAGAGAGTGAGATGGCTGTGTTTTGGAGAAGGTGGAACTCAACCTATTTAACACTCCCAGGCTCTCAAAGCTTCTCCGCTGCTTTCTTCATGATCTCAAGGCTGTTCTTCTCTCCTCACACTCCGGCCCCTCCAGAGTTCCTCCCTGAAGCGATATCTCCTTTCCTGAGAGCAGAGCTGTGTTTTCAAGAAACAGCCACGGATCCTGTGATTTCAAAAACACAGTCCCGGAACAACAGCAGCCTGAAGTTAAGTGGCTTCTCTCCTCCAGCTGCAGCCCTTGGCCTGGGTCCAAGTCAAACTCTGCTTGGTAATTACACAACTCAGAAGGGCGGCTTAAAGGGCCAGGAGGTCTGGCTTTCGCAAGAGAAGAGGGTCTACAACCTCTGGGACCATCCCCATATACAGCTGCCCAAGAGGAATGCATCTGGACCAAACTTGGGTGTGAATATATCTTTATAGGAAAAGTGGTGATGTTTCTAGATACCCATATTTTGGGACCACTGACCTCAGGGTGGGCAAATATTGCCTTGCTTTCCATCCTGTTCCTATTCATGTGAAAAGGAATGACAAACTGGAAGCTTATATTGGAAAGGACCCTTATCTACTTTAGAAATCGATCAGTTGTGTGATGTATGTGCCTTCGACTTTAGAAGATATAAAGAAGTATGGAAGAGATACAGAGAGAATAGCAGCTTTCTGGCCTACTAACAAACCTGGTTGAAAATTTCTACAAAGTGAAATGCTTCTAAACAATTGTATTGCCAGATAACAGTTTTCTGGTCTTGAGTTTCAGGGTCTGGACTTTCTTCTCTAGTCTTCAGAGCAAGGAGAAGGAATCTCAGGGTGAAAGCACTGTCTTGAAAAGTATGCATGTGTATTTATTTCCCTGATGGCTACACTTACATTGAATGGCAATACATATATAGCACAACTGCCCCTCCACATTGGCAGTTTTTACTTTCCCAGATTTGATTATTCAAGGATTTGTTGAAATGTTCTATTTGGGAATGTCTAAGTCCTACAGTGTGACTCTATGTTCAATTTTGTTCTGTCACCCTAGAGGACCTAGAGCAGTGTTTCTCAACCTGGGGGTTGGGACCCCTGGGAGGTCAGAGGGTCAACAAAGACTATCAGAAAACACAGTATTTTCTGTTGGTCATGAGGGTTCTATGTGGGAAGTTTGGTCCAATTCTATCAATTGTGAAGTTCCGAATGCTCTTTGATTGTAGGTGAACTATAATCCCAGCAACTACAATTCCCAAATGTCAAAGTCTATTTTCCCTAAACTCCACCAATGTTCACATTTAGGCAGATTGAGTATCCATGCCAAGTTTGGTCCAGATCTATCATTGTTTGAGTCCACAGTGCTCGGGATGTAGGTGAACTACAACTCCAAAACTCAAGGTCATTCCCCACCAAAACCTTCCAGTATTTTCTTTTGGTCAGGGGATTTCTGTGTGCCAAGTTTGGTTCACTCCCATCGTTGGTGGTGTTTATAAGGCTCTTTAGTTGTAGGTGAACAATAAATCCCAGCAACTACAACTCTCAAATGACAAAATCATTCCCCCTCCCCCAACTCCACCAGTATTCAAATTTGGGCATATTGGGTATTTGTGCCAAATTTGGTCCAGTGAATGAAAATACATCCTGCATATCAGATGTTTACATTACGATTCATGACAGTAGCAAAATTACAGTTATGAAGTAGCAATGAAAATAATGTTATGGTTGGGGGTCACCACAACATGAGGAACTGTATTAAGGGGTCGCGGCATTAGGAAGGTTGAGAAAAACTGACCGAGAGATTTCTAGAGATAACAGCTCTCTAGGAATCTTTAGGCCCTCTGATGTAATTCTATGATCAGCTTCCAGCAAAATTCAACCATAGAGCCATCATGAAAGACATAGAAACTCATAAAAAATATTCTATCAAGCAATACATATATATGTGTGTGTGTGTGTGTGTGTGTGTGTTTTATTCCTTTTTATGGGGTCCACAGCAAATGTGGGGGGCTGACTATATATCAAGCTTAATGACATTACCAGGGACGTCATCTTTTAATGTCCCCAGAGCCTGGCATCTCCATGACAACACAGGGGGCAAATCCCTAAATCTCAGGTTTTGTCCGAGACCTCAAAGCCTGGGATAGCTCTGATTTAACAACCCTAACATACATTGACAATAGAAAGTTTCCTATCCCTCAAAGTTATGGGCTCTTACTAGACTGAGAGATTCTATTAGCTATGTTCCAAAAAAGATACACATTGCTCAGCGGTCCCCTTAAGGTCATGCTGTCTGATCTGTACCTCCCAGCCAGGGCCTCTGCTCACATTCCTACTTTCTCGGAGTTGGACATGTCCAACTCTAGAGATCAGCCTTTCATTGTCCTTCAGATTTCTCTCAGACTTGAGTCAAAGCATTTGGAAAGAACTTGGCATTTCCTAGAGCTTGGGGAAACTATTGGCTTGGACACTCACTCATATAATCAGGGTTTCCAATCATATGGAGAGGCTGCATTTTAGAAGATACTCCTGCCTTCTTCAGTTTACTGGTGGAGAGCAATGATTGAATCCTACTCCTTATGTATTTATCTTAGTCCTGTCTTGATTGGACGTCTGAATAAGGTCTTATGTCAACTCAAACACAGTGCTCTTTACTAGAGGAAAAGAAAAGGGGATTCCCAATCCAGCACAACTGTGGACCTTTCTGTCTAGGTTGTAGTCCAGCTGATCTGGGGGGCACAAAGGAGGGGTGGGGAAGTGTCTTATATAAATTATAAGAAGATCTTGATGAAATGTTTACACCAAAGCACCAGACAAGCAATTCAGTCATGCAACTTTGTGTTTTCCAGGACACAACAGAACCCTGATGTGCTCACAATCCTTCTCCTCTTCCCAAAATTTTTGAAGATGCTGAAACTGCTGGACCTTGTTGTTACAAAACAACAAAACCTTGCACCACCGGGATACCAAGTCTAGGCTGCCCTCTGCTTAGGTCTTATCAACCACCACTGCAATGTGTGGAACTTGTGCAATCTATTTTTGCTTATACTAACCTAATCCTCTATCCCATTATCTTACTTAGAAAAGAGGTCACATGAGGGGGAAGGGGAAAACATTTTCTGTTCAGTGAAAAATAAATACAGAATATATTAACTCAATAAAGAACATAACAAAATAGGAACTTAAACATGTGGTTCACTTATAGCAATATTTAAACTGTCAACATAATTTCAGGGTACTTTCATGCTACAGCAACACGCCTGTATCCACAGAACGAATATACGCAGTGTCACTTAGGGCTTTGGTATCTCCACTGGTTCAAGATTGAGAAAGGCATATGGCAGGGTTGTATACTCTCACCCAACCTATTTAACTTGTATGCAGAAAACATCATGCGATGTGCAGGGCTTGACGAATGCAAGGCTGGGGTGAAAATTGCTGGAAGAAACATTAACAACCTTAGATATGCAGATGATGCCACTTTGATGGCTGAAAATGAGGAGGAGCTGAGGAACCTTCTAACTAAGGTGAAAGAAGAAAGTGCAAAAGCTGGGTTGCAGTTAAACATAAAAAAACCCCAAGATTATGGCAACAGACTGATTGATAACTGGCAAATACAAGGAGAAAACATGGAGGCAGTGACACTTTGTATTTCTAGGTGCAAAGAGCACTGTAGATGCAGACTGCAGCCATGAAATCAGAATACGTTTACTTCTTGGGAGGAGAGCAATGACCAATCTCAATAAAATAGTGAAGAGTAGAGACATCACACTGGCAACTAAGATCCGCATAGTTAAAGCAATGGTATTCCCCATAGTAATCTATGGATGCGAGAGCTAGACCATAGAGAAGGCTGAGCCAAGGAAGATAGGCGCTTTTGAACTGTGGTGTTGGAGGAAAATTTTGAGAGTGCCTTGGACCATGAGAAGATCCAATCAGTCCATACTCCAGGAAATAAAGCCCAACTGCTCATTGGAGGGAAGAATATTAGAGTCAAAGATAAAGTACTTTGGCCACATCATGAGAAGACAGGGAAGCTTAGAGAGAACAATTATGCTGGGGAAAATGGAAGGAAAAAGGAAGAGGGGCCGACCAAGGGCAAGACTGATGGATGGCATCCTTGAAGTGACTGGCTTGACTCTGAAAGAACTGGGGGGTGCCACACTCGACCGGGAGCTCTGGTGTAGGCTGGTAAATTAGGAGATGAAGAGTCGGAAGTTACTGAACAAATGAACAACAATCTCCACTGTTTGTCCCATTGAAAATAAGGTGTGCTATTAGCCTTGGTTCCTTGTATCCATGCAAAGTTTGGAAATGGATTCCCCGCAGAGATGATAGTATTACTACATCCTCCATGTCTTTTAAACCATGCAGAATGCTTCTCAAAGTCCCCTTTCTTGCCCTCAATAAAAGTACAGGTGTTCTTACCTTGGCTTCACATTTTTTATGGCTTGCCACTTTGCACACTGCAGAGAAAAGAAAAGAGATATTCTAGATCTAATCCTTGTTGCCCTAAGAGATAGGAAATCAAGTGTTTTCATTACCTGTATACTGCTACTAATTGTTCAATGCTAAGTTGCGTGAAGAGAACTGTGTGACTATGGCTTTCCTTTAATTAAGCTTTATCTGGTTTCCTAGAGACCTTCCAGACAGGCCCTATATCCCAGGATCTGATCCCAGGTTTTCTGTTTATCCCAGATTATCCGGCAGTGGAGATTCATGTAATCCAGTTCAAAGCAGAAAACATGGGATCAGATACTGGGATATAAGGCCTGTTTGGAAGGGCCCTTAGTAAAGGGCATTTAAAATAATGGAGAGCTGCAAAGGGCCCTGGCCCAGAGCTTTCCAAACATTTCATGTCAGTGATATACTTTTGAAACGTGCATCACTTTGTGACATAGTAATTTGGTTGCACTAGGAAACTGGAGATATGAGCATATATGTAAATTGTAATAATTAAATGTATACAATATAATTGTATAGTACAAAATAGTGATGTATAGCGCTGATATTGTACTGTGCTAATGGTATAATGTATTGTTTGTGCGTGTGTATGTGAATATATATGTATATGTATATATGTATGTATGTATGTGTATATATACACGTACACGCACGCACGCATGCACACACACACACACACACATCTTTTAAGCCGCTCTGAGTCCCCTTCAAGGTGAGAAGGGTGGCATATAAATGTTGCAAATAAATAAATAATAAATAAATATGGGGACACAACATATCTCATGAAAAAATTTCATTTATATTTTTAAATATATATGATTTATTACTTATTTTACATAGGCGCAGTGGTTTCAGGTAGAGCAAGAGAGTTACCAGAGGCCCCTACTACATTGTCCTCATATCCAAGGATCTGATCCCAGGTTATCTGCTTTGAATTGGATTATATGAATCATATAATCTGGGATAAGCAGATAATCTGAGATCTGGAATATAAAGACAGTGTAGAAGGAGCTTTATAGGTAGCGGATTTGATACATAATGAAATAGCAGCAGATTCCTAGTTGTTTTTTCTTATTGCATTTATACTGAAAGGAAGGAGGAGAAATAGTGGGATTTTCTAATAGATATGCTGAAATCAAGTTCCTGGCTTAGGGTACTATGTACATTGAATAGGGTTTGGAGGCATTGTATGTGACGCCTCAGACATCAAAATGTGTTGGGCCACTTCAGTTACGTCTCTATGAAAAGTGTAAAAGACAGGAAGGTCTCCAACTGGACGCCACTTACCTTTACAGACAAGCCCCTGGGCCTCAATGGATTCCTTGCACACAACACAAGCCTTTTTCTTCTTCTTAAAGACTTTCTCTTTGAAGCTGTGAGGCTCAGACACCTTCCCAGGCTGAAACAAGAAAGGCAGGCATGTATTTGTTGTGGTGCATAATAACATGATAAATATTTTATTTTTTTTATGTAGGCAAATGAACAATGCACTCCATGTGTGAAACCAGATGGAATAAGCTTGTTAGCAGAATAGACGCACCATACTCTCTGTATTTCAGAGACAAAAGCAAGCTGGAACACATATGACCAAGAAAAATCAGGATGATAAATGTTATGAGTGAGAAAGAACAAAGAAGCTTCAGGTCCCTTTACACTGTCCTATATCCCAGGATTGGATCCCAGATTATCTGCTTTGAACTGGATTATATGAGTCTACACTGCCAGATAATCTGGGATAAGCAGATAATCTGGGATCAGATCCTGGGATATAGGGCAGTGTAGAGTGAGAGTTTATCCCTTCCCCTCTTCACTTTGCTTCTGACGTAATTGACGACAAAGAAGTTTTTCACTTTGAGCTCACTTTGCAGTAATTGAAGTAACTGAAGACTAAGGGGGAAAGTAGGAAGGAGATAAACTGGGATATTCCAAACCCATTCCAAATGTGCAATGGCAGAGTATTAATCGGGACTATCCCAACCAAATCAGAACAGTTGGAGCATGTGGGTGCACTGCTCTTGTAGGAACCAAGCAACAACCATTTTACAATACATCTGTCAAAATGGAAAATCATTTTCGTATATACTAGGGAATTGAGACGTACTTTCAAAAAGTCATGATTTGCACTATATAGCTATTAAAGAACACCTCTTTTTTATCTCCGTCTAGCAAGATTGGGTCATTTTAATTCAGAAAAGCAATCACTAAAAGAAGGCAAAGGATGTCTATTATTATTATTATTCTATCATCTATCTATCTATCTATCTATCTATCTATCTATCATCTATCTATCTATCTATCTATCTATCTATCTATCTATCTATCTATATGCTGCTTTATATCTCCCGAAGGGTACTCAAAGTGGCTCTTTTAGTGCAACACCACCAAGTGTCTATGTTATAGTCATTAAATATTCTTGGCATGTTTCAGAAACAACAAGTGCTTACGAAGGGAAGTAATTACAAGTCCATGTGCTATCAAACATCATTTGAGAAATCAAAGGAACACTACCAGGTCTGTGGCGCAGCTGGCTGGGAGTCAGCTGCATTAACATCACTACTGATCGGAAGGTCATGAGTTCAAAGCCAGCCTGGGTTGGAGTGAGCTCCTGACCAAAATTGTGTAGCTTGTTGTCGACATTTGCAACCCAAAAGACAGTTGCATCTGTCAAGTAGGAAAATTAGGTACCACTTATGTGGGGAGACAAATTTAACTAATTTAAGAGGCCATAAAATATCTCCAGGAAATATGCAAAGAATGAGGAAAGTACTTCATCAGTATCACAGAGAGTGAAGCGACAGCTCCCCTGGTGGCCAGAAGCTGGAATGTTAAATTGCCTCTGTGTCTGTCTATATTTGTTGTATGTCTATGGCATTGAATGTTTGCCATGTATATGTTCATTGTAATCCACCCTGAGTCCCCTGTAAATAAATAAATAAATAAATAAATAAATAAATAAATATCTATCTATCTTGCAAAATGCACTGTGTAATTTCCAATTAATTTCTCTACCAAAGTGTTTGTTTATAAAGCCATTGTCTTCCCAACCCTGTTATATCCTTGCAAAACATGGACTGTGTACAGACGTCGCACTCAACTCCTGGAACGATTCCATCAGCACTGCCTCCAAAAGATCCTGCAGATCTCTTGGGAAGATCTCTTGTTGCTTCTTCAGCATGCTGGAAGAAGCAACATTGAAGTAATGCTCCTACGCCATCAACTCCGCTGGACTGGTCATGTCTGAATGCCCGATCTCGCAAAGCAGTTACTATACTGCCAACTCAAGAATGGAAAATGGCATGTTGATGGGCAGGGAAAGAGATTTAAAGATTGGCTTATAGCTAACCTTAAAAACTGTGGCATAGACACCGAGAGCTGGGAAGCCTTGGCCCTCGAGTGTTCTAACTGGAGGTCAGCTGTGACTAGGAATTCAAAGAGGAATGAATGGAGGGTGAAAGAGAGAAACGTGCCAAGAGGAAGGCGCGTCAAGTCAAGCCTTCCCCCTGGAAACCGATGCCCTCGCTGTGGAAGAACATGTGGATCAATAGGGCTCTACAGTCACCTACAGATCCACCGCCAAGACACTACACTTGACCGGGACAGCCTTCCACCTGGAAACCGATGCCCACGCTGTGGAAAAACTTGCGGATCAAGAATAGGGCTCTACAGTCACCTACAGATCTACTGCCAAGACACTACACTTAGAAGGCTATCATACTCAGACAACAAGGATTGCATATACTTCTTTGTTATGTATAATCTATCTATCTATCTATCTATCTATCTATCTATCTATCATCTATCTATCTATCTATCTATCTATCTATCTATCTATCTATCTATCTATCTATTTATCTATCTTGTCCTGTCCTGTCCTGTCCCCATGTTTGTCATAATTCCTAAATGTTTATTTGACTCATAATGCTGCCCATCAGCATCACCTAGTGAAAGTGATAATTAAACGTAGGGAAATTAAATGGAAGCACTTCTGTACCACAACTTTCATTAAACTAGTGGGATTTATCACCACAAGACCTAGCATTAGAGATTGCTTGAATGTCTTGTAAGGAAAGCTTTGACAATGTCATGAATGATTGGTTTACCAACAGCTATTACCTGTGACCGCTAAATAAAAACCTATATTTAGAGGCAGTCTGGCTCTTGAGTGTTTCGGGCCACTGATAAACAAGGAATATATTTCATGCCTAACTTGCACTTTGCCTAAAAGATCAAACAGATGTACTGCATTGAACAACCACTTCCACTGTCATTAGGCAAAGTGGTTCTTAGTCGCAATGGTTGGAGATGATGGGTGTCATGTGCCACGACATCTAAAGGGCAAAGGAAGATAGAGCGGGCTAAGGGTCAGCCTAGATCAGTGGTTCTCAAACTAGTTTCTTGAATGTTTTGGACTTCCATTCCTAAAAGATACAGCGAACTTGGATAATGATTAGAAACTCTGAGGAACTGAAGTCCACCGCCTGCCATATTCAGAACAATCAAACTGGATGATACACTTAGGATATTTTTTAGAAGAGGTGCTTATTCAAAAAAAATGTTTATAACAGCATGTGATTTTCCTCACTTAGATACCTTGCGTTTAGCATGGTTGTTTTGTGATCGGTCATGGGAAGGTAAACATGGGCTCGATTTGTATATCTCCTTGTTATTGAAATACGTCAATGTCAGTGTCACACAGTGCACCAAATCATTTTTGGTACACTGGGTGACACCAAAAATGATTTATCTGTAATTTTTTTAATGCAGTGGTTCAGCAGAAATGTATTCATTGTTTTGATTAAAAAAATACTCACATGTTATGTATAATCACAAAAATAGAAATACTGGACCTCTCTAACAACCACCATGTCAGACTACACAGAAAAGCCATTGAAATCCTCAAGCATGTGGAGAATTTCAACAAAAAGGAGGAAACCATAAAAATGAACGAAATCTGGCTACTAGTATTTTAAAAAAACTCCAGAATCAGGTCAGTAAATAAAGAACAACACTCAAAGAACAGGGGAATTCCAGACAGGAAACAATCAGGGCCAGTTAACACCTCCCAACAAAGGATTCCCCAGACAGGAAGCAACCAGGCTTTGAAGCTGCAAGGGTATTCAATATGAATCAAGCTGGCCAATTGCAATAGTCACACTTACTTCAAACAGACAAGAGTTCTTTCTCTTAACCTGGACATTCCATAGATATATAAACCCCACTTGCTTAGTTTCCAATGGATCTCACAACCTCTGAGGATGCCTGCCATAGATGTGTGCAAAACGTCAGGAGAAAATGCTTCTGGAACCTGACCATATAGCCCAGAAAACTCACAGCAACCCAATGATTCCGGCCGTGAAAGCCTTTGACAACACATAATCACAAAGACATTACTTGTAATGACATCTTACATGTACTATATCAGTATACCCACAAGGGTGAAACTCTATGCTAATGTACTATTCGAACCTTCTAATGCTCATGTGCTTCAGACTGTACAGCCATTATTACCCACTGATACCATGACAATCTGATATGGTTTCATGCTCACATACTATTAGCATGGATTGTTCTTTTAGTTGATGTTGGTTTTTAATACTCACTATGTCAAACTTTCTGATTTTATCAAATTGGCTACAATATTGTGGGGTGCAGAAAGTCCATGGAAGGGACACCATGAGCTACTGCATTGGGTGACATCAACTCTAGTGATGCCACTAATTATTGAATTAATCCCACTTTGGGAGGGGAAGCAGGTTAACAATAAAGAATAACGACCGTTTTGGATATATCCTCATAAAATGCCTACTAAGCCAACTATAGCATTGACGAGATCCAATGCAAGCACAACAGCGTCTGCATTCCAGGTCACGTTTATGGCATAAACAGAACAGTACTGGACATTCCTCCGTAAGATATAGGCCCAGAGTATATCCTCTATAGCCAGCAAGAATGTGCAGTGCTAAGGGTTTATTAGCGAAATCTTCTTGGAATGACGGCTCCAGGGTCAATGGTCAGTGTTTTGTTGGAAGAACTTTATGTATCTTCTGAATGAACTAAATGGAAAGAAGAAAAGACAGCTGCTGGTTTTAGCACGCCTGAAGAACTGATGACGGTGTGAGGAAAGAAAATACACACCTATGGATTACCTTAAACAAATATTCACTATGGTTTAATGTATGCCCGAAATGTTCATTTAAAGAGCTGGCAACCCTAATTTAATGTACATCTATGAGAAGTGTTTGGACCAGGGACATCTCTGATTTGGCACTGCAGCACTAGAGTTCTTGATCCAATACCCAACTGAGGATGGAAGCACCAATGCTTCCTTGGGTTTTAGGTCAGTCAAAATGGCAGCCTCATGATTTTTTTTGGAAAACCGGAATCTCCAAACCTTTTGGA